TATTAGTCTGGTGTGATTCACTTTGACTGTGGTCTTCTCTCTTCTGAAGATCCTATGTTGCTTTTGTCAAAGTGCACTCAGGCTGATTCAATTACTTTAGAATCTCAGTTGACAAGTCAAACTATTTTCTCTAATACTATCGCAATATTAGTCTGGTGTGATTCACTTTGACTGTGGTCTTCTCTCTTCTGAAGATCCTATGTTGCTTTTGTCAAAGTGCACTCAGGCTGATTCAATTACTTTAGAATTTCGCTTTGATGGAATAAATTTATTTTTCTTATTTCATTTTCCACTGTTATTTTCACTCTAATGTATATTAAACGTTAGGCCTATTACTTTTACGTTACTTAACTTCACACCATTTATATTCTCTTTGCTTTTATCTGTCTGTCTACCGCTCATCTTATGCTTTTTATATCTTCATTACACAGTAGTCTGGCCAATTTCTGTATTCTAGACAACAATTGGTCATTAACAAAACCTTCTACAATCGTCTGCTTTTAACTCTTATTATAAAAAAACTTAAAAATAATAAAATATTCACTTACAAATATAAATTAATCACTAATATTTAAACCAGAGTCTTTTATATCATGACATACATCAAAAAGTTTATTAAACTACTTTTTGTTTATGTTTAACCAATTAATATAGCATAAAATCTTAGCTAATAATCTGTATTTTAATAGCATTTAAGTTATAAGTTCTTAATTTTAAAAGGTAATATTTTAAAAATCCAGAATTTCCTCTAGTGTGACACATTTTCTCTAGGTATCTCTGCTTCTCTATTTTATCCACCACCCCTCCAGTAACTACAAAATTGAACATAAAGTACTCACTATAAAATCTTCATTGCTCAGACAAACCATAATTTTTATAACCATCTATCAGACCTCTTTTGCCACACCCACCAGTCACATCCTCTCTTTCAGTATTTGTTAATATTTCTCTCTCTCTCTTACATTTAATTTTATATTATCTATAATGAATAAAAGACCAGGGTTTTCATCTATCAATTGATGTATTATATTACATTGTGTTCTGGAACAGAGAATTGTTCACACCAAAGAACATAGAATAATAAGATTTAAAAGCAGAAAATTTCCTCTAATTATCACAATTTTTCTGACTCTTTCTATACAACAAGAACCATTATAAATTATTCCAAGCTAGTCATTATTTTTCTCATGGGAATGAAGCTAAAGAAAACTGAAAGAAAAATATTATTTAATTAAATAAAAATGATTTAGTGCACTGCTACCATTAGTATAAAAATTAGGTTAAGTGTCATCAACAGTCGACAGCTAAAAAAAAGAAGACATAGGTAAGTACTTTATTTCTTGTTTTTCATGTTGATTCTTTGTTTTTATCATAAAAATAACTAAAATGCAAAAATAGGGATCTCTTTAGATAGTTAAGGTTAGATTAAGTAAAATAAATAATATAATAAAAATGTTACAAGAGGCATGCACACAAGCAGCTTGTGATTAAGATAATTCGATAGCATAAAATGAGCTCCACATTCCACAAGTGATTTACAGCTTATAATGGTGCGAATAGTAGCTAACTTGGTTCAGAGGGCAGTAAAACAATAAAATTTAATTATAAATAGATGTATACTGTTATGAGTTTAAAGCTACTTAGGACAAATATATATAGTTTCACATTACAATTTGAAGTAATTCTAGAAATAAAAAAAGGTTAATTTAGATTTATTTCCATTTTCTTTGGTGGTTACGAAATTGGTCAAATTGACCAACCCTATTTAGAGTTAGGGTAGAGAAAACAATAGATGAAATGTAAAGTTTTACTGAAAAAAAAAATTTCAAATGTATTTAGGAGGTGTAGAGGTTTACACAAATATAATTTGAGATGAATAAAAGTATTTTTATCATAATATGAAAATCACTCTGCACACAGACTATTCAAAACAAAAACTCTATATATTCATGGACAAATCTTTATTTTAGTTTATTAAAAAATTACTCACTCAATCCCTTTTTAGCTGCACCTTTTTTTTCACACCTAAGGTGTTTTTGATTAGATAACATGACATTTTGTCAATACACACCAACAAACCACAGCAAGTAAGAAAATAACGCTCAATAGTAACCAATATTAGCTTTAGGATTGCAACCCTATTATTCAGTAAAGATCTATGCTTTACAGAGCTGACCAGATTCTTTAAAATACATGGTGGTAGCTGTTCCTCTCTAAAACAGTGTTAATGACTTCGTTTATAGTAACGCCATGGAAACTAGATTAACAGTTTTATGTTATCACATGCATAAGCTAATATAACATGACACTCTTTAATTAGGAAAATTACATAAAATTTATCAAATTTATGCAGTGACTAATTACTGTCCACCCATATTATTCTTTTGAAAATCTGAGCAAGAAACTGCTAATCTAGTTTGCTTGGCTTAACCAATATTTATGTATGTAGACATGGTTTCAAACTATAGTTTTGCTGCTCTAAATCAGGTGTCTTTAATCCAACTGACTAAAAACTTAAAACAGTCCTCCTTTACTGTTAGGTGAAGCTGTCATAAAAACTTCAAACTGATAGCTCACAGGACTTTTAGGTCAAAATTTAGTGGTTTTTGTAAAATAACTTTGCTAATGTGGCTTATATTTAGACCGAATTTGACATCTAATTGTAGATTGTAAATATTTGTCAGTGTACCAAATTTGAAAAAAATCCATGAAAGTTAAGTATGTTTTTCTGTCAAAGCTTCCATACTTTCCTTGCAATAAAAAAAAGAAAGAAATTCAATCAAAAATTGGAAGTTTTATATCTCTTGTATTTCTTAATGGATTGCCTTGAAATTTGTTATGTGAAGTAAGGGTATAGTAGAGCACATTCACTTAAAATATGTGATAGTTTGAATTACCACAGTCCAAGCTACAGAAAGTGGAAAATAGCTAAACTGTCACTGCTGTTAATAACACACTGTGTTTCCTGCAGGTTGTTTTAGCCACACGACACACTATCCTCTGTCTTGATAACCAAGTTTGAAGCATTAGGTTTATTAATTATATTGTAACGTTTTAAACTAATTAACTGTGGAGACAATGACATGATAGCACTGTTATTTTTTATTGACCTTTTAAATATGTTGTTTGATTTTAGAACATATCTGTCCAAGAGAAAATAGAACATTCTGGAAATTTG